AAGGAAGACTGGGCGGGGCCTGCACCTTAACCCTGTCTGCCCCGGACGGACTGAACTGGACTGGGCGGTGACTCTGCGCCCGTTTGGGCTCCTACTATGGCCCCCGAGAGGGGCTGACATTTCAGTCCCGGTGCAGGTACAGAAGGGACCAATGCCAGGGGTGGGGCCCGGACTCCTGGGTCTGAGCCGGGGAGGGACCAGGACCCTTGACTCCTAGGCTGAGGAGTAAGAGCTGGAAGTCAGCACTCCTGAGGCCTGAGAGAGGAGGGGGCGGAAGGAGGTGGTACCGCGGACCCAGATGCCTGGTTCCTGGTCCCCTTCCAGGTTCCGCAGAATACTTCCTTTGCCAGGTGAGATTCGGCCCGGAGGAAGGAGGAAAAAGGCGCGGGCCTGGGACCAGGAGGCCGAGGCAGGCTCCGAACACAGGACAGCGGGTCCCAACTTGAGCCGAGCCAGAGCGCGCCGGCCCCGCTCAGCGAGAACCGCGAGGTAATTGAGAGGCAGGAGTGGGTCGGGGTTCCCAGTCAGGTCCGCAGGAAAGCAGGACCGACGGCGGTAGAGACCACGGCCGCTGAAGCCCGCGCCCTGCGCAGCCACGTGGCCTCAGGAGGCACACACTGCATCCCCCAGGGCCTGGGTCTCTCCATCCAGGGTTCCCCACCGCCCCTTGCCGCTTCTCCCATGGGGCTGAGAACCAGTCAGGCCGTATCTGGAGCGGGTTATTTCCGTCTTGGCGGGACTGGGTTCAGGAGGGGACACCGGAGAACCAGCTGTGCCCCTCCAACCCCCGCCCCCATACCCCGCCCCTGCAGCTGTAGCGTGCAGGAAGAGGAGGGGGCGGATGAGAGAGGGAGGAAGGCCTCAGCCCCGGGTACGGGGGTGGGTAGGGGTGATGGGGGGTTGGGGAGGCGGCCTGGTCCCATCCTCGCTCTTGCCACAGGCCTGCTTCACGTTTGTCACAGACAACGGCCTCTCTGTAGGAACCTTGGCTAAGTGAAGGGACTTTTTCTGAGCATGACCTCATTGTATTGAGCACAGAACTCTACTCAAGGGTGATTAGGGCCTCTCTTTAAGAGGATGAGAGTCTCACAGAAATGGACTGACTTGCCCCAAGGTCTCAGAGCTGGCAGGAGAAGAGGTGGCATTTAAAAAAACAAACGAACAAAAAAAATTTTTTTGTTTCATTGTTTTAATCTGGAGTGAATAAAAAAGAAAAGAAAGAAAACCCAACAAACATGGTCATGGGTGTAGGAAATCCTGGCCTTTACATCAAATAAAAACATCTTTTCCATGGGATGCATGCAGCTGGTCCTACCAAGTCCCGCATCCAACATTTGCTACTGTGTGACCCAGGGCAAGTCACTTCACCTCTCTGTGTCCCAGACTCCGTGTCTGTCCAATAGACATTATAACCATGGTCTCCCCATCTTTGGGTTGTTCTGAGGATTACATGACTTTGTTCATCTGTGTGAAGCAAGTAGGCGCCAGCTTGGACCAGAATAAGTGCTCAGGATATAAAACGTCAGCATCATGAATGTATGCTGTGAACAGCCCTAGCACATGGGCATTCTGATTCCCATTATTCATCAGAGTAAACTGAGGTTTAAGCTTGAGGAAGTAAGTTCAGGGTCCCACAGAAAGGAAATGGCAGCCCAGGCGTGTTAGACATCAGAAACCAGGACCTTAATGTGCTGCCAGGTGCTGGAAAATGGCAGTTAGGTCGCCTGGTGGGGCAATAGGAGGATGGGATGAGGGGCGAGCTAGGGCTTTGCAGGGAGAAGCAGTGGCTGAGCAGCCCAGGAGGCATCCATTCCAGGGGCAGCAGTCAGCAGAAGCAGAATTCTGGGCTCTGGAGTCCCACAGAGCTGGTTTTTGTGAACTGTGACAAATCACATTCTCTGAGTGTCTCGTCTGGGGCATGGAAGAATGATCTAAGGTGAGACTCCACTGAGCATTTGCTGTGTGCTGGGTACTGTGCTAAGACTTTCATGGGCAACATCTCACTTGTTCTTGCAGAGACAGCAAGGTATCATACAGGCATCATTCCATTTTCTAGATGAGAAAAATGATGCCAGAGAGGTAAAGTAACTTGCCCCAAGCCACACAGTAATGGTCACAGGCAGAGCCAAACCTGGACAGTTGGCTTTCTGAGTTCTGCTCTTTTCACCTATAACTCACTTAAGAGTAAAAATGGCACTAGGAGAAGATGTTTTATTTCAAACTGTGAATTGAGATTCAATAATGAGCGGAAGTCGGAATTTTTTTTTTTAAGTTTAGAATTAAAAATATCCAAGTGCCTACCTAGCATGTTATAAGACTAAGTCTTGCTTCATACAATTTTTCCCCCTTACCCAGAGGGCAGAGGGGAAAGAGAGATGATCATGTGCCAGGTTGAAAAAACATCTATTCATCTAGGTTGGGTCTTTGGGTAGGATAGAGGGCAATTCTCACAACATATCCATGTACAATTATTTTAAATCCTTTTGACTTTTTTTCCACATGACCACTGATATTGCCAGGGTGCTTGTTACTAAAAGAACAATGCTGGCTGTTTTGCCTTCGTCCAGGATTTTATCAAATCTAAATTTTGTTCCACTGTGGTTTAGGGACACATACTGCACCTGTTCCTCGCGCCCCCCCCCCACTAGCACTACCAACTGATTAGCAGTATTAGTTTTCTTTGATTGACCTTTTCTATGTGCCCTGCAAGGAAGCTAGTGCTACTTTACCCATTTTACAGATAGGAAGCAGAGAACATGTAATTTTTCCAAATTCATACAGCTGGCAAAGGGTGGGGACTGAATTCAAACAGAAAGATCTTTCATTATAATAACAGTGACTATTATTACAAGGTCATCAAAGTCCCTCCTAGAATTTCATAAAAACAGCCTGGTTTTGGGATGCGAGCAAAGGTTAACAGGCGTTGCTCTTTACCACAGTAGCAAGAGGGGACCTATTTAGTTTACAGTTTACAAGCTACCAGCTTCAAATTGATGCCATTTTGCTATTTTTTAACATAGAGAAATTTCCATCATCATCATCATCATCATCATCATCATCATTATCATCTTGCAAAAAGTGAGACGTTATATTGTCTTTCAAAGTCAGATAATTACAGTTAGGACACCCTGTGCCTGTACACGACTCCCAGGCCCACCCAGAACCTCCCCAGTTGGGGTCTTCCGGCAGGCCTGTGGAGTGACAGATGTGCTCTCTAGACAAAGCCTTAATGGGCCCTTTTGTATATATGAAATCCTGTTACATCTGCGTTGGTATAAAGACAAATATAATCCAGGCATTTAGAAGTAAGTTCAAACATTTCCACATTTTTGCGAACCTCTGGAAGTGTGTGGGCCCTAGGCACTGTGCCTGCTGCACCCATTGGCCGCAGCCAGCCCGGTCTTCAGGAGTCGCCCTGTGAGAGGAGCCGGAGTTTCTGCCAAGTTGGGAAGCACTCCGGAGGGTTGCTTGTTGCCTGGCCTCTGCGAAGCTTGAATGTTAGTTCTTAGTGGAGTCAGCAGCACCGCGTGGTGGTCATGGGCAGATCTAGATTTGAGTCTGAGATGTGAATCAAGCAGTTGCGACCTCGGGGCCTCTGGGAACCTCAGTTTGTCCCCGTGTAAAATGGTAGTCATCCCACACCATCAGCCTCTCTCTATGGAAGGTGTCCTGGAAATGACTAGCTAGGCCTCCGGCTAGAGTCGCAGCAAGCGTAGGGCGCTCCCTCCAGCTGGAGGCCGCGCTGACTCGCCTCCACCCCGCAGATGCCGGTGCTGAAGCAGCTGGGCCCCGCGCAGCCCAAGAAGCGGCCGGAGCGCGGCGCCCTCTCCATCTCCGCGCCACTCGGAGACTTCCGGCACACACTGCACGTGGGGCGAGGTGGCGACGCCTTTGGGGACACATCGTTCCTGAGTCGTCACGGAGGGGGGCCGCCCCCGGAGCCCAGGGCACCTCCCGCGGGGGCTCCGCGCTCCGCGCCCCCGCCCGCCATGCCGCAGCCTCCGCCGCCAGCCCTCCGC